CGGGTTGTCTGAGAACAATTCTGACAACCAATTTCAATTATATCCTCACTGCATTGCTCTTCCGTATCAATTTCAGAACATGTAGACCTAGGCCTATTGCCACAATGCTTTTATATCGATTTTGATTTTTGTTTAGCGGTTCGGATCGTAGGCCCTACTCGTTTGTAGGTGTAAGCCTAGACCTACTGGGTCTTTATTATATTTTTTGTATTATGAACCTTTTTATGTGCTATTTTCACCAGAAAAGCCAGATTAAATTCATGAAATATACCTCGGCTAGTTGTCTTTTGTGCATTGCTTTGCTTTTTCTTTGTATCTTTAGCGGTGGGGGTGGGGTTTGATGTGTTAGGACTACTGCTGTTGTTACCGTCGAACTGGCTTCACATGGCCGTTACACTGTTTGTCCCTGTATCTTGGCTGATTCTACATTTGGCACCATGTGGATTGTAGGGACGGAGCCTGTTATCAAGTCCCTTTTGTTTTTGAAACCCATTTCTGCAATCAGGCTTCCAGAGAAACATTCTGGTTTGAAATGGGCCCCACAAATAACAGCCTGAGAGTTTTCATTCGGCGCCTTGAAGTCGGCCCTTTTCAATTGTACGAATTTGACCCATTATCTTCGGAGACCAGCATCTTTCGGAAAGCCGTGTAAACTGTTTTCTTTACAGGTATTGCTGCAAAATTGCGCGACACAGCGCTTCGGCATTTTAACGTAAATATTGACATAGCCTATCAAGGTTATTAGGTTGACAAGGTTCCAAAAATGACGTCATGCGGTCATGTGATCAATTCAACGTAATGGCGGACTGTCTTTGTAAACACAAATCGTCTTTGTTTTACTTATACATGTATTTTTATTATCGATTATAAGATTGGAATTGGATACAATAGGATATATAGAAACATTCACGGTAGGTGTCAAGTGGCCCATTATTGACTTTCCATACACTTTAATAAAAACCCCTGGTAGGAATCCTTTTAAAGACAACAGGTCTTCGTTTTTCACCCATGTTTCAGATAAAAGGAGAACATCATATTTATTGATATAGTTGACGAAAGAATTGTCCTTTTTCAGAGACTTCAGACCATCCATAAGAATGCAACCAAGGAGTGGTTTATCTCGAATAAAATCCCTAAAGGCCACCCGATTATATCTGACTGTGGTAGTGAGTCATATGCAGTGTCAGAATACATTGATCATTTCTTACTACCTCTAGCATGTCAACATCGCGCCTACCTTAAAGACACAACCGATTTTGTCAATAAAATAAAAAATCTTCGAGTTCCCTCTAATGCTATTTTAATTTCTATCGACGTTTCTTCTATGTATACCAATATCGATAACACTACTGGTTTAACGGCAGTTCGTAAAGCTTTTAATAGAAACCCAGATCCAAACAGACCCGACTATGCAATTCTACAGCTTTTAGAGATTTGTCTTAGTGGAAACGATTTCAAATTTAATGGTAAAACATATTTACAAACTTGGGCAAACGATTTGCCCCTTCGTACGCAAACCTTTTCATGGCAGAGTGGGAACGTGAGGTATTGCCCCTCTGTCCATTTGACCCACTTTTTACAATTTTGGATGACATTTTTATGGTTTGGACTTATTCTATCGAACAGTTTTGGGAATTCTTTGAAATTCTCAACAACCACCATCCTTCCATCAAACTAACCCCAAACGTGAGTGACAAAAGCATAGACTTTCTCGGTACCACTGTCTTTAAGGGAGATTCCATAGCAGAAACAAATAAACTGGATATTAAAGTGTATTTCAAAGAAACTGATAGAGCTCCTTTCACTCAAAGCATACCTTTTCTGGTATAATTAAGCCACAAGTTTTAAGATTTCATCTAATTTGCACAAGATCTTCTGATTTCAACCAAGCCTGTACAATTGTTTTCTCAAAACTGAAAGAGCGTGGGTACTCTAAACGATTTTTACGAAACATAAAAAATTCCACCTTAGCACAGATAGCAGCTAAAACAGACTTTATGCCGAAGTACCTCCAGGTTTAAGGAGTGCTCCATGTTTGTCCAGTAAATGCAAAACATGTCCTTTTACATGTGAACATTTGAATGTAATATATTTAATTTCATGCAAGAAATGCCCCAAACAATATGTAGGAGAAACCAAGAATAATTTACGAACTCGTTTTAATGCTCATAGGTCGGACATCAAATTAAAGAAAGACAAGCCTGTTTCTAATCATTTCAATCTGGACGACCATTCAATAGACGATCTCACCCTAATCCCAATTGAGCATATATAAATTGACTTGCCCGAAGATGAAATTACTAAAGTCAATCTAGGGAAGCCCATTGGATTGAGACATTGAATACAGCAAGACCTATAGGACTAAATATTCATCATAATGTAGGCATAGCACCCTTTGTTGTCCCGTTCAATACAACCAGCAAGCAAGATAGTTCATGCCCACTATAAGAGCCTTCAAGAGAAATTCCCCCATGTCTTTAAGCAGAAAATGATAGGTGCATATCAAAAAATAAGAACTTAAATGATAATATTGTTCATAGTAAACTAAACATAGGCTTGCAGAAAGTGAAAAAAAACAAACACGATATCAGTGTTTTATGCAATATCACTCAAGAAAATCATCGGATCCTCACCAAATTCAATAGTGCATATCTTCCTAATGATATTGACACACATACAAAAGAATCAATAGAGAATTGTAGGCTGTAGAGTGAGCACGAGCCAAAAAAGTGAAAAATTAATGAACGCGATATCAGAGGTTTATGCGATATCTCTCGCATCAGATCATCACCAAATACAATAGTGCACATCTTCATAATGATATTGACACACATACACATAAGCAGAAAATGATAGTTGCATATTCAAAAAAAGAACTTAAAAGATAATATTGTTCCTAGTAAACTAAAAACAATCAGTACATAACAGATACTACACTTCTCGCCCATTGGGCCATCAGAATCAAAACAGAAGAAAACCCAATATCAAGACCCTCAATCCCAAATAAAGTATCTGTTCCACCATAGGCCTGTACATTTGGGAGAATCAAACCCTCCCTTCAAAAACTGTTCATCAACAAATTCGAACTTGTCCAAGATCTCATTAATATAAATGATCACACCAAATTTCATTCAAATCAGATAAAATCTGTTGTCTCTATTGCGTTCACAAGCACACATTATAATGTGGGCGTATAAAAAAAACGACAATTTCGGATTACTTGTAACCTAATGGTACACTTCAAAAAAAGTCCAACCAAGAAAACTTCGAACATTTTTGTGAAACATGTAGTCTTATCGAAGGCTTCTTCTGTATATATTTCCTTAGCTCTTACCATCATTTTAAGTCTCAATTCTCCATAAGTTTATATCATTTAGTTAGAAAAAATACCGACCCCATTGTTTGTTTACACTTGGTCCCACTTGATTATCCCATGTTATTCTGTTCAGTTGTTTGTTCTCAAAAGTTATGTCTTAGATCTCATGATCCATGTTCGAGGTGTTTGAGAAGTTTACTGAAAATATGACACAAGCCATTTGATCTAAAGGCTATGACCTTAATCTTGAAGTAAGGTCATTGGCTATTATTAATCAGTAGAATTGAGATCAACAATCTTTTCACATGATAATATTTAAAATGTTGGCAGTATACAGCTATTCCTGCCCGTCGGATTCACTGATTAGTGTTGTAATTTGAGATACATAGAATAAGACATAAGAAGGAAATTAATTGGGAACTAGAAATTTTGTCGGATTGCTAAAAATGGCAGAGTTCTCAGAGTATAGGCTACTGTATTAACCTTTTGTCATTAAGCTAAATATTCACCACAACAAACGAATACAAAAACAAAAGGGTTGTTTTGGTTATTTTCAAAATCTCAGACTTTATATAAAGTTGTGCCATATCAATGACAGATAGGCTAATGCGGACATCAAACTGACGTTTCTCGAAATACAAGAACATGTCAGTGAAAAGTTTCTGTGTTTGACTATGTACAATATGTTTTTTGGGAGTAAAAGTTAAAATAAAGGGACAACTAAAGCTGTGGATATGGAGAGTTCACAAGTTTAGACAAGATCATGTTTCCATTTCTTCTTAAATTTTTGTCAAGATAGCTTGCGAGGCAAGAAATAATAAAACTAATCTTATTAGTTTGAATTCTATTACATATATGCCAGTTATTTATGCTGAGTAATTCCACAAATTTTTTTAAAATCAATATCAATAACCCAAATACAACAATTAAATCACACAGCTCTAATCAAGGGAAAAAAAACAACTTTTGACGCGTGTTTACAATATAGCTAATAGAGTGAAACGCCAAGTCATACACTATATTTCGGTGAATAATTATCCGATCATCATGAAAATCAATAGGGATCATGTTCATAATGACATTGATACAAAATCAAAAGAATCTGTAAAGAATTGTTGCCTGTAGAGTGAGCAAGAACCAAATTTGAACGGACAGACGGACCGACAGGGTGATTACAATATACGCCAATCTTATGTGTGGGCATATAAAAATGTAATATGGGGTAGACTGACTTAATGGGTTGACAATTGTTGATGTTGATTTCAAAATGTGGCGACTCTGTGAGGGTTTTCATGCCACTGAGCTTAGACTCATATGCCATGATTTATGTGTGATTTGAATGCTCATGTGTATTTTTTTGAATTGTCTGTGGATGTTCACAATTGTCATTCTTTATAGCCTTGTCACACCGGAAAGGTATACTTGATGAGCTTTTACCCAGGGGAAAATTAGCTCAGAGCTTGTTAAGGAAGCATTGGATATGGTAAGGTGGTCTCCGATAAACGCCGTTAAGATTGCAAAGGATAACGAGAATATCTTTACACGAGCATCATAACATTTCCATATAAACAATAACAATAAAGTGTACTAAGTATAGATTTTTAATGGAATCTTTTTCTTGACATTTGCTGGCTACTATGACAAGACTATTAACTATATACTTACTATATTGGTTGAGAAAAGTAACACTATTGGGATCAAGATCATGATGTCGCAAATATTTACCAATTCTACTCACTGAAACATTTGCCTAAATGAAAGAAATATAATAGTAAGTAATGATAGCATTGTAGAAAAGACATGTTATTAGAAAGTATACATACACACAGCAGAAATTGCATAAGATGATAAAAAAAACTATCTAATTTACTGGTAAATTACATATACAGTGGTGTAACCTATTTTCGTGGATATAAGGATTCAACACCGAATTTCGTCAAAGTTAAAAAAACGAAATTTTTTTTTTATGTCTTCGATGTTTCTTCAGATATACTACAAAATAATTAAAATTGGTTTATTTCGATTTTCTTTATGAATCCTTCACTTTGACCCATATTTCATGAGCAACCAACTTGGCAACGGCTGCAGAATGCGTCACCTCTTTTCGTGTACAATGATTGAACTATAAATAAGTCTAGAAAAACACGTTATATGGATACCGAGTGGTATAATTAACTTCTCTTAGTATTCATCTTTAATATCAATTCATTATAACTAGTGACAATTCCTTCAAAGATCCACGATTTTAAATAAAATAGTGACCGACAAAATAAGATACGTAGCGTGATTTATTGCTAAAGTCATTGAAACAACATAAGAATATGGTCCACTTTGTGTTCCATAGAAATTTTCTGCTGACACGAATCCGCTAGTTGATCACGTGACTTCATTCGTTTGACTACATTCTAGCAGACGACAGTTGGAATTCCGATTACGGCTTGGGATTATTAGGAAATTCGGCCGTTAAAAAATGGTGACGTTTGGTAATAACTGAAATTCGCCATTTTGTATTTGTCAAAGGATACATTAATACATTTTACCTTGCTTGAAACTACTGGATTCATTCTACCAGCTGATATTAACCCATGTTTATTAAAGCAAACTAATTCGGAGGTCACGCAAGGTCGCTCATGTAAATTATTAATCATTTCCGGAAATCCATGAATAATAGGTTTCCACGAAATTAGGTTACTCGACTGTATCATTCATATATCACATAAAACTTTGTGATTTTTCAATTAAAAAGATAACTTGCAAGGCATGGTAATATAGCCCACTGGCAGCTTTGATTTCAAATAAAAATGTTTGGCAGTACAGTAACAATTACCAATTTGAAATATTCAACCATCAGACATACACTTCTTTTGAACTTTTAGAGGCAATACTGAATAATATTACCAAGGTTCGTCAAAATCCATCAAGAATTGTGCCTTCTAGACTGTTTACATGCTAAAATTTGAACGCAACTTCAAGAACAAGCACGATAACTAATTCTATTTTCAATAGTGTTCATCCTTAGGTGATATCAAACACTCACACCAAGTTTCATCAAAATCCATCAAGAATTGTGCCTTCTAGAGTGTTTACGAGATAAAAATTTAATTTATTTTCAAGAACAAGGGCAATAACTCATACTTATTATTTTGCGATTATACTGATTTTCAATACTAGGGTTCATCCTTGGGTGAAAACAAACAATCACACCAAGTTTCATCAAAATCCGTCAAGAATTGCGCCTTTGAGAGTGTTTACGAGCCTTTCAAGAACAAGGGCAATAACTCATACTAAATATTATTGGATTGTTTTTAATAAGGTTCATCTTTAGGTGGTTATAAACAACCATACCAAGTTTCGTCTAAATCAGTCAATAATTGTGCCTTGTAGATTGTTTAAGCACCGACAGACGTACATGGGTGACGGCAATATACATTTCATGTGTAAACATTCAAAAATTTAATCTGCTATAGAAAAAACTAAGTAGTCCTAAAGGCTCCTCTCCTCAGCGACAGACACATATATCAGTAAAGTTCAATGATGTCACTTTTTTACTGGTCAATTTTTAGTTGATCCAAATGAAATTTTTTGTCCTATAGAGTATGCACATTATTTGGATCAACTAAAAATGGACCAGTACAAAACTTTGTGTCAATATAATTTATTCCGAGCATGCGCATTACAAATTTCTTTTTCTTATTCAATTATCAAACTCTGTAAGTATTTGTGTAATCCAACTCTGAATTTGATGGAAATATTGAATTTGTGTTATGTGCATGCAAGGCCGTAAAGGGACAGATGTGCCATTTTGGGGGTTGCTTTTAGTCTTTACGTAAATAGCATACATGTGTATTCTACCGATGTTGTCGGGCTTTTACCGCTCTACTGATGGGATACCCAATTCTACCGATTTTTTGTTTTTTTTTTCAATTCAATACTTCGTGAAAGTGTTGCAGGAAAATTCATTAATGATAGGAATGGAGATATTTAAGATGTCATGAATTACACCTTTGGAAAAAGTAACATTGCTAGTACATATGATTTACTAAATATTGCGTTCAGAAAATACTGATTTTTTAATATGCTATTGCATGTATGATGAGAGGCCTACTGGAACCATTTAATTTAGAGGGCTGGGATCATGCTTGCTTTCTTGTTTTCAAACATCAGTTCACCTTGACATTATTTTTGATTCAATCAATACTGAAGAATAACAATATTAAAATTTTTTGGGCCCCTAAATTTGAAATATCAGGCACTATTTCTAGAATTATTTTGCCTGAGTAGGCCTATCCCTTTTATAGATTTGTTAATTAATTTCACTGTGTCATGTAAGACTATGATCAATTTAGTTAATTTACAAGGCTTAAGGCTTATTTAAAAAAAAAAAGACAAAAGTATCAATTTGGAGTTTCAAAATCACGAATTTACGCCCTTTGGAAAAATCTCCCGACTTTTCATCCAATCTCCAAATTTTTCAAGGCAAATCTCCATATTTTTTTTCCTGACCTTACACATTGTTCTGAATCGATATTAAGTCTTCGCATATTGTGCAGGTTCAGATTAAGTCGGATTTTTACTTCGCATTTAGAATTTAATCTACAACGGAAGTCATTAGTTAGCCAATATGAAAATCCTTGTGCATTACCTCATCTTTTTATCCATTATTGTCATTTTTCATTCATAGTCATTGAATCAGTCTACATTTCTAGTCTTAATGACCAAACATCATTTATGCAGGATGATCACTATTTTCAGGTATTATATTATTTTACTAAGCATTCGTCCTGTTCTGTAATGTATTGGTCTATGCATAATATTAGTCTCAATATGAAAGAATTTACAACGTAGTCAAATGGGAAACTAGTTCCGGTGAAGTCTAGGTCAATCGCAATAGTCATGTCAATATTTTTAAGGTTCTATAATCTTGTCGAAGTCATACTTATTATTCAATTATCACATCATGTCAATTCACTGTATTTTTTGACAAGTTCATATTGTTGTCATAACCTGTGTCGCCATGTCATATATTTTTACCTGTCACCTTGGTAGGATTAAGGTTGTCTCCCTTTAGCATCTTCTGCTATTTGGGAATGTTAGTCATGCAATCTACTGTCCAATTTAAGAGTCTTATTATTGTCATAATGTCATTTCAGAATATCGAAGTCTGTTTACTGTTCACCATAGAAAATATGTTGGTCAACAAATATGTCTAGTCATAAAAGTCATAAAAGTCATTAAAGTCAGCATTCAAGTCATTTTCTTCGTGAACTGTATATGAGCAGATCAGAGACGTCAGCAATCTATTTCATATTACGGAGCACCAGCCTGCCACACCTCATCCGTCCTAACTGACATTACAAGGGATCAACAACACAAATGTATGGTAAATAGTCTACAGAAGTACTAGAAATGTAGAAAATCGGATAATTATGATAAAAATGCTTCAAACTGGGAATTTTACTCACTATTTCTATATATGTCTTTTCTGTATATAACAGAGTGTTCATTTTAACATTCAATCGCGGCTATTTCTTAGCACACATGGATTTGAAGGCTCAAATTTCGATGGTAAGCTGTTAACACTATAACTGATTGGCTTATTTAAAAAATTCCTGTTTCTGAGACTAAAGTATGTTTGGTCAAAAAGAATGGCACTCCTTTGCCTTTAATATTTTCACCTTTGTATGTACCTGTTTGTTGTAGCATGACCTGCATCAGTACTGTTAAGGGAACAGTTCTAGTCATTATTAGTGTGATTGTCCCCATCTCATGTGGGTATATAATAAAATTTGCTCACATTTATTCCTGCTTAATGCTCCTTTCAGTCTATTGCTTTATTTGATACAAGATAAATTGATAATGAAAAAAACTCACCTGAACAATGAAGGAAAGTAGCATAGGTAGAAGATTCATTGGAAATCTTAATATGTTAAACAATGACAAGGAAACAAAGGCTTTTTGCGCATCAAGATAATTTTGGTCAGATGATAAAATGTATGTAGCAAATGTTGCTAATGTAACCTACAAGAAATAAAACCAACTCATTAACATTACAAAACATCTTTTTGTTTGGTTACATGGTTGTGGCATTTAATTTCAGTCATCAAGTGAAAGTCTGGTGACCTTGCATAAGTCATCTTCCCACAATATTTCAGGAAAAAATAAATAAAGGCGATTAGTGGAATCAACAGGACAATATTGTAATTTAAAGTATTTTCCACTCTAATGGGAATATATGTTGGTAAGAATAACTTTGATGAATTTTCATACTCACCAAAAATGGTGCACATGTCCAAGTAAAAGTACCAAAGGCATTAAGCCATGCAGATTTTTTTAAAATATCCAGTTCTTGATTTCTTATATCCAGAATCTTTGCTTGAAATGACAACTCCCATGCATACAATTTTAAAACCTGAAAAGTATTTTTGAAAATAAACAAAAAAGAAGAAGACAGAAAGTTTGTCTATGATAAATCAATAAGTAATATTTTCTCCATTTAGGATTTTACAGTAACATTTTCAATATAAGCATTGTGTTGGTAAAGCTCTTGTGCAACAAGTGGAGAAGTGAAATCTCCAAGGGCTGAATGGCTGACAGGACAATGTCACTTTGGTGAGAGGGGCCTAATTCTGACCAAAAGAAAATAAAGAGTGTTTTTATTATTATTAGAAAGAGTTGGCATCTGGTTTTATTTCCTTAAAAGATAGCTTGCCAGGCAAGGTAACATACACCCACTACCAGAATTGTAAGAAATGATAACAAAGTCCTTTGGCCATACCAAAATAATTTTCTGTTCTTCGGGATTTCTTGAAAAAAAAAAAAGTACGAGCGAACGAAATTTTTTTTTTAATTTTACAAAAAAAATGTCGAAATTAGTAATCATTGATTTGGTTGGTGCGATATAATATTTTTTAATTTAAAAAAAAAAAAAGTCCCTTCGTACCATTAAAATTTTCCAGCATGGATGATTTTGAATGATGATTCAGATAAAATAACAATTAATAGTATTTATTTGTAATCTTCCACAAAATTTCTTTTGCACAGATTAACTGGTCTTTTGACCAGTCATCATCTATTGTTTTGCACCAATCTAGCACATCACAAAATAGTTTTTGAGGTCCAGTTAAGGTTTTGTCAAAGACTGGTGGTGTAGGTTTTTCAGGAAACATTAATGTCTTTCTTGATGCCATCATAAAATCGAACACATTTTTATCACTTTTGGAAGTATTACAAACAGGTTCTTCAGACGAAGAATGAGAAGGCAAGTTAATTAAAAAGTCCACAACCTTGGATTTCAGTTCATCACACAGAGAAATTTGCAACGAAAGTGTAACTAAGACACCGCCTGATTTTTCCATATTGTCCTTGATGTACACTTTTTCTGGGATCTGTGATATGCACGATTGAATTCCTGCAGATGCCAGATCATAAACATCTTTAAAAGTGTTTTCAGGCTCAACATCAAACGCCATGTATGGCAAAATAAGTTTCTGGTGTGACCTAATTTTGATTACTAAAATCATTTTGGTCAAAAAGACAAATACTAATATTAATTCTAGCACTGCATCGGCCATACCTATTTCTGATAATTATCAACTTCCGGAATTTCGATGCGTTCGGTCGTCGAGAAAATGTTCTTGCTTCAGCGAAGGGCCTAAACTACTGTACGAACTCACTCTTTCAACAGCTGGAACATGTTCTACTATAATTGTCGCACGATGTCCACAAACTGACAAACGGAAATAGAGGGCGCAATTTGTTACTCCTGCTACCAAATTTTAGGCTTAGAGAAATAGAAATGAAACTAAAAATGAGAGCTAAACAATCATGTTATCTGATCAATTTAGAGGTACGGACATACGGGCAATATAATTTTTTTTTTAAAATTAAAAATTCTTTTTTCAAAATTTTACATACGGGAGCTCTTTTGATACATACGGAATATTATTTTTTAATTTTAAAAATAAAATTTCGATAACGGAAAATCGGGTACGGAATTCCCGACGAACAGAATATTATTTTGGTATGGCCTTAGTGGCTTAATAATGAATTTTCAAATAATCTTAAAATCATCTATAAGTCAAGGCAAAAACCTGAAACAGTTCATCAAATTCAAACATGAATAATGTCTCATTCAAAAACTTACTATTTAAATATTTTTGGCTTTAAAAAATGACAGTAGTGTAACCTATATTCGTGCAACTAAGGATTCAACGTTGAATTTCGTCAAAATTTTGAAAAATATTTTGTTTACGTCTTAGATGTTTCCTCAGATAGGCTATTCTTTAAAACAATTAAAATTGGTTTGTTTCGATTTTCTTTATGAATCTCTCAAATTAACCCATATTTCATGAGTAACCAACAGAAGCAAAATGCATCACCTATTTTCGTGTACAATGTTTGATCTATAAAAAAGTCGAGAAAAACACATTCTATGGATATGCAGTGGTATAATTTTTACTTCTCTTATTATTTATCTTTAATAATATTTCATTATAACATAATTCCTTCAAAGAACAATGTTTTAAAAAATACAAATAGTGACTGAAAAAAAAGATATGTAAAACGTAAGCACGATTTATTGCTAAAAGTCATTGAAACAACAGCAGAATTTTTCTGCTGACATGGAATCCTTTAGATTGTAACATTACTTATTATTTCTGGAGATGCACGAAAAATAGGTCAGCATGAAATTAGGTTACTTGACTGTTAGTGAAAACTTTCAAATGTCAAAGCACACATTTCTCTAGATTTTGGGGTATGGTGTTCACAAATTTGAGCCAAAAATATTTATAACCTACAAAAATAGTGGAATGTCCCATTTAAACTAGATTGGCATCATATTGCCTTAAGCTTACTGGCAGAAAACATAAAAATTAAAAACCAGATACTCCGAAAAAAACATTATCAAACTTTTAAGATTTTGTGACTTTGTGATTTGTAATGGCAAGGATTCCGTTTAATAGATTTAAGTATATGTATAGGTTAATGTCCTCAAGCAGTCCAATAATCATAATGATCGTGACACAAGGACCAAAGGTCAGCATGTTACGTCATTATTGAATGCATTGGACTGCTTGAGGCCCATTAACCTACTTAAATACAGATTTCACAAACAATTACATCTACTGCATATGCCGCAATATTACAGGTCATATGACATGAACTCACCTGCCAGAACATACACATATAAAAACATGTCCGGTCAGGATTTATCAAAAGTATACTTGTTCCAGGTAAATAATATTCATATTTTATCGCTTCGTCATTCATTTCAATGTTCAATGATTAGGGGTGGTAAAAAACGTAAGCGATAATGATGAATATTAACATGCAAGCACATTTTAAATTCTTTAAGTGATTATTATTTTGTTGGGTATCTTGTTACATACCATTTTACCTGAGATGACATGCCCTAAATGTTTGAAAAAGACATCTCCGATTGTTGCATTAAGTCACATTATTGTATATCATCTTATTAAGAAAGGACTACTTTCTGATGACAGTAAGCCCAAAATTGAATTTATTTTCTCCCATTTAACAAATATCCACAATATCATAAATTTTCAATTGCATGTTATTCGTCTTAAAATGTCTTTGGGTTCATAGAAATGTAATGTTTGGAAATTTCATAACTGATATAAACACATCCATTAATTTTTGGTGAAACTGACTTACATTTCAGAACTGAAGAAAATTTCCCTCTAAAATACATATTTTCAACTATTGTCTGAGTAAATTAAAAGATTTTTTGAATGTTTTTTTTTAGAGAATTAGAATAACAGCCTCAAAATAGTACTGATAGTCTTAGAATATCTTTGCGTTGATAAAAGAATGAAACTCATTTCCCTCCTAGAAATTTCAACCTTCAAAAGTCACAAATTTTCGCTGAAAATGGGCCACTGTAAAAGCAAATTTCGAAGACATAATGTGTGCTTCTGTTTACATTTTTATCAAAGCAAAGTAATTCTAAGACTAACAGTACCATTATGAGGCTGCTATTCCAATACTCATAAAAACAATAGAAAAAATTCAAAAACTTTTTACTTTGCTCAGACAGTTATGTTTTTTTCATCGGTTGGGTTTTTTTTTTAACCCAAGGTCAGTCTAAGACTATCAGTACTATTTTCAGGTTAATATTTTAAGTTATACAACAATATTAGGCAAATGCAATCCTGTGAACATTACGATCGGACGTTAGCATTAACTAGAATTTAAATAATTTTTGTGGCCACCACGTCCATCAAACTCTGTCAAAAAGTAGTCTGTAAAGGAGCAGAGCTTATATTTACATTCCGTTTACACAGATATAAACAGAATTCATGTGACCACTGTTATCCAATCAAATTGCATGATACCGTGTAAACGGAATCGTGATTTAATTATTGTTAAATGTTATAAATTGGACCAAAAATTTCATCCTTAAATTCAAATTTCCATAATATATTTTTATCAGTTGAAATTTTATTTAGACCAAAGATAATCTCAGTCATATTTTAGATTTCAGAAAAGGGAGGGTTTGATTCTCCTTGTACAGGCCTAGGATGAAATAAATATTACACTGAGAAATTGGAATAAATGCAGAAAGTGATTGGCAACATGAAATCCTGAAACCATAACATAGAGTTGTATACTGTACACAAATTTATATCAGTAAAAATTTTTTTTTTACATAAAGCACTCTAAAATAAAAACATAATTAAAACCAACCTTTATTCCATTTAAAACTTCATTCATTAATTTTATTCTTTGATCTTTCAGTTTCATTTGGCTTATCTGATATTTTCTTTGTTTCGCAGCTATAAACCCACTTACTGGCATCAACAGCACCATTACACCCAATCCAGCTAGAACAGATGGTCCCAGAGTGCCCCATAATAAATACATTGCTAGTATTATCTGAAGTGGCGCTGACCATGTCATCCACAGATAACCTGTTATATCTTGAATTCTTTGGGCATCAACAGACATGAGATTTACTACTTCACCAACAGTAGATGACTTTCTTGCTTCATTGTTCACTGTCAACGCCTGAAATTTAATATTCAAAGAGCATTTTACTTGATATAAATGAAAGTTGTAAATATGTAGATAGAGCTGGTCACAAGAATGTCTCCCCTGTCCCTTGGGCTCAGTAAGGGTCATTTTTTGGCTAATCAGTAATACTGTTCACAACTCAATTTCACAGTTGAAGCCTTCAAATCCACGTGTGTTCAGAATTATCTGCATTTGAAAGTTAAAAAAATGCCTTATATGGAATAGACATGTATAGAAATAGAACATTTAATTCCTAGTTTCAGGTATTCTTAAACGAATTATACGATTTCGTACATTTCTAGTAGAAGACTGAAGACTATTTACATATAATCAACCCTCCAAAATGGTGCACCTCTTAAGAAATTGTCCAAGGTAATTTCCATTTGCTCTTTAACTTCAAGTCTTTTTCAAACAAACACACATGCAATCCTTATTTGTCATTGAAATTAAAGTTATCTTACACCCATGTGGAAATTTCCTTTCATTAGTCAACTGTCATTCCTATATCTAAAGTTTATTTTCATAAATATTCATTCAAAGACCTGAATATGTTTGTCAAAAATTTCATAAGGTAGCTTGCCAGGCAAGATAATATACACTCATTGGCAGCTTTGATTTTGAATAAAAATATTTGACAGTAGGACTACAGTTAAAATCACCAGTATGAAATATTCAACCATCAGACATACACTTATTTTGAACTTTTTGGGTGATATTGAATAATATAATAAAGTTTTATCAAAATCAGGCAAGAATTGTGCCTTTAAAGTGCGGTCTTGGTCAGAGACTTTTTTCGCCGATTTAAGTCTTGTCTTGAGTTTCAACAACTGGCTCGGGCACACGATGAGACAAATATCTCCAGTTGGTTGTTTCCACCTTCCAAATCAATAATCACGTGCGGGGCATGCAATTGAAAGGAATAGGAATCTAACAATGCAAACAATAAAACAATCGGAGACAATTTCAAACTTAATTTTTTAGCTTGTACACACTAAAGGTGCAGGCACATAAGCAGTCTTGGTCAGAGACCTTGTACACACTAAATGTGCAGGCACACAAGCAGTCTTGGTCAGAGACCTTGTACACACTAAATGTGCGGGCACACAAGCAGTTACAAATGGAAGTGTCATCTGTTATCCACTGCAGTATAATATTCCCTTTTCAGCACAATCTGTGACTAGCCTAGTTATAGTAACAAAATAGTTGATTTTGCTTCAGCTTAGTTTAGCTTTCTTTAACAATACTAAATCATTTGATTACTGATTACAGCTAACTTCTTGGAAATGGAAATGTTAGTGGCTACAATCCGATCGCTTAAACCAAGTACCAAATTTACTTCCTCCATTAAATCATTATATTTATGGAGACAGCATGTGCGTTATTTGGTAATTTTAGACCACCCCAACCTGTCAAATCCACATAAAAAATTCCATTGTCATGATTGAAATTACGAGTTGTTCAAAAATCAATGACATTTGATAAACGCTTGATGTGGCTTGTATCAAATAATCTAATACTTTGCTTAGTTGAACAAGCCTTTGCTGTGCTGAAATACCATGCAGCCGTCTTTAGTTGCAAAAAGAAAATAGCATGTGTTGGTACCTATAGGAATATAAGGGGGAATAACTCTGATATTCTACTAATTGATTACAGGGTCATAACCTGATGGTAAAATGAAAATGTGAAAAATCCACTGTTTTTTTTTTCTTTTTTCTGATTTTTCTAAAAATCTTAGATGCAAAGACTGATCGCTTAAGTAAAGAACATGGTACAGTGAAACTTTTGACTTCACTTCAAGTTTAATAGTGAAATTGACTTTAACTTCAGGTGTAAATTATGTAGGTCAACAAAATTTGGCTGATCTTTAGTAAATAAAATTCAACATTCAATTTAAAATAAAATCCAGACCGAAATAGATTATTTGGCTGCCATATTGATATGACGCACATTTGTAAAACACAAAATGGGGCCTCAGGGAAAAATTGGACGTGTCTAATTTTGCTGTGTATGTACTCTGTAAAGGATTGCCGACAAAAACTAGGAAGCCGATTTTTTTCATTTCGCTTTTGCTTTTTTGCAATTTCGGGTTTAATATTTTTTAGGTTTTAAGGCTTATATCTCATCACCTTGATCTTTGATAACCTTGACCTTCATTGGATCAAAGGTCATTGACCTTGGCCATCAAATGATTTTCATATTTGACCTCCAACATCTACTTCCAGTTTTATGGCTGTCCGAAAACAGCCAAATTTTGCAACTTTGGACTTAACTTTTGTAGGATCAAAGGTTAAAAACCACTATTCATACCTTCATATTAGATGTCCAACTTCCAGTTTTGTAGCCGTATGCATTTTGAAAATTTTAAGAGATATATCCTGTGACCTTGACCTCTGTTGACATTTCGCTTTACAGGGTCAAAGTTTAATGACTTTGGCTATTCGCTGATACTTTCATTTATGATGTCTGACAACAACCATCCAAAGACAGAAAATGTCTTAACTTTAGACTGTTCTGGCACGTGACCTAATTAACGTAAAAAGCTGATATTTTCAGAGTCTCTTGCAATTTCCCACATTAGCAAAGTCCAACTCAGTCCAACTCTGTGCAACGTGTGGCTCTAGTTTATTTTTTTAATTATTTGATGTCTTATGTCTACTTCCAGTTAAACCACAGTATTAATTTTATGACTTAAGTTTTGTTGAGCTTCCCCTTTTAGACATTGGCTAACTACTGACACATTCATATGTTATGTCCGTCTTCTTCCGGCTTAAAATGCCTTCTAAATTTTTACACACCCACATATAACGTATAAAATATTGTTTGTAAACATAAAACAGACTACAATTTTCATCAGATTTAAATGAAATTTGGTGTGATCAGTCATAATGAAAAAATTTCAGACAAATTCCAATTTGACGATCTTCGATGAACGTTTTTGATTGAATTTGACAATTTTTCAATCGATTTTTTTGGTTATTGCCCTTGACTTAGTAAAATCACGTCAAAATTTTGTTGTGGGCACAATAGAAGCTACAATTTTCAGCGGATTTGGATGAAACTTGGTGTGAGCATTTGGATTGGTAAGATGCCAGTCAAGTTCGAATTTGAAGATTTTTTAATGACCAGGTTTTTGAGTTATTGCCCTTGACTTAGTACATTTGCATCAAAATTTGGTAGTTTGCACATTAGAAGCTTCAATTTTCAATAGATTTTGATGAAACTTGGTGTGATCATTGGGATTGATCAGAAGGCAATGAAGTTCAAATTTGACGATATTTCAACAAACGGTTTTTGAGTTATTACCCTTGACTTAGTAAAATACATAAATATGACTTGTTTTTGTTGGATCTTGTAGAAACTTGGTATGCAGGTACAGTGGAGCCGCGTTTATCCGGTTGCCGATAATCCGGAAACCCTGATATCCTCACGGTTTTTAATGGGAATGGAATATTTACTATGCAAAAGTAACCGTTAATCCGATGCTACGGTTTCCGGTTTTGCACGGCTGTGATTGGGAACCAATTATCGAATTCTAACTGGCTTCCGCATTAGCGGTATTTTTGATGTTGCGTGATTGGTGTTTAATAAATCCTCATTTTGAGGAATGTCATCTTCAGTTCAGTCATACCTGAATTCTATTATTGATACGGAACGCATCAAACGTTAGTCCTACGAAGTTACGGCATGGAAATTTGTGTTCATAAATAAGCAAAACTGGCTTCCGGATTAGTATTATTCATGATGCCTCGTTGATCAGTGTTTAATAAATCGTTATTAGAGAATATGTGGTTAATTTAATGATCATGTGTATGCTATCTTTCGTTCAGTAATACTTAAAATCAATTTTTCGTTCAGTCATACCCGAATTCCATCATGGCTACGGAACACATCAAACTTTAACGCTACGATGATACGGCACAGTATTATGTTTATACATTAGCGAATCCTAATTTTAAGGAATGATATTGTTATTATCATGCTATGATAGTGAAATAAAATGAAAAATTATAAACAATCGGGGTTCTTCACGACTTATTGGCCCTATTTGACAGGTGTCCTTATTGGAAAGGATATAACTCTAGTTACGGAATGGCATGTTTCAACTATTCGGATTTTCGTTAAACTGCACAATTTTATCGGGAACGAGAATGTGCGGATAAACGAGGCTTCACTGTATATATTAATGAGAGTAAAGTTCAAATTTGTCTATATTAGTTAGTTAGTTAGTGTAAATTTAAATATACGTTATTATATATCTTTGAAAATTTCAGACACGAAAGGAGTGTGATAATTCAATGCTTCTGGGTTATTGCTATTGATTTAAAGATAGCTTGCCAGGCAAGGTAATATACGTCCACTGGCAGCTTTGATTTTGAATAAAAATATTTAGAAGTACAGTAACAATCACCAGTATAAAAAATATTCAACCTTCAGTCACACTTCTTTTGAACTCTTTAGGGCGATACTGAATATTATTGAGTACGAGTTATTGCCCTTGTTCTTGAAAACGTGTTCAATCTTTAGCTCATAAAAACACTAGATGGAAAATATTCAATATTCAGCCCGGTACTGAATAATAAAACCAAGTTTTATCAAAATCCGACAAGAATCATGCCTTCTAGAGTTTTAACAAGCTATTTTCAGCTGATTTCCAATAGGCTTTATCTTTGGGTGATAACAAAGACTCAAGCCAAGTTTCGTTAAAATCTGTAAAAAATTAAGCCTCTAGAGTGTTTCAAGAACAAGGGCAATAACTTATACTCACAAGTTTCGCCAAAATCTGTCAAGAATTGTGTCTTGTTGAGTGTTTACAAGCTAAAATTTGAACGCGTTTTCAGGAACAAGGGCAATAATGATAACATTGTGATCTGAATTAACCTTAATAAGGAGTTACTTCCCTTTTATAAAATTGTTATTGCTAGACTTCCTGAATATATACTTCCTGTAGTTTTAGATGTGTGATGAATAAATCTTAGTTTAAGACAAAGTGTCTATTTTAATATATTGGACAGGGTCCTATAATCTACTTATTAAATGGTAGCAGAGCAATGGCAACTAGTTACAAGAATCCTCCCAAGTTTGGGGAAGATATTTCTTATGAAACTTGGAAAAATGAGCTTGAAGTGTGGAGACTAATGACTGATGTAAATGTCAAGAAACAAGCACTGGCAGTGACTTTAACATTATTTGGTAGGGAAAAGGCAATAGAAATAGCTGCTGCAGATCTGAATAAAGATGATGGAATGAAAACTCTAATAGACAAATTATTCAAAAAAGATGAAAAAGATGCTGCCTATGAGGCTTATTCCAACTTTGATAAATTTAAGAAGACAGGTGAAATCTCTATGAGTGAATATGTCAATGAGTTTGAGCAGAAATATCAAAAAGCTAAAAAGTATGACATGACAATATCAGATGCTGTGTTAGCTTATAAATTACTGTATAATGCTAATCTGTCAAATACTGAGAGAAAATTGGCCCTGACTGCCACTGTTGATGGGACTTTAAAGTCTATGAAGTCAGCCCTGATGAGAATATTTACAGATTCTGCAAGCAAACCAATTGAAGATAAAAGTACAGGAATATCAGTTAAAGAAGAATCAGCTTTACATACTGGGCAGAAATACAAAAAGCAGCCTTATCAACAATCAAAGACAACTACTTCACATTTCAAAGAAACTGATCGTAGATCTGGAACAGAGGGTATGGCTGTGTCTGGTGCGATTTGGAAGAAGAACTACATGTGATATTGGTAATTCAACTTTTCACTGGGCTAAAGATTGTCCACACAGAGTTTCCAATGTAAATTATTCCGAATGTGGTGAAGAAGAGGAATTATGTAATATGACTTTGTTTACAAAATCAGGCGAACTTTCAAAGAATGAAGTTTTTATGACTGAGTATTTTGGGTGTGCTGTTTTGGATACAGCTTGTTCCAAGATAGTATGTGGTATGAAATGGATAGATAATTATATTGATTCTTTACCAACAAAAGAGAAAGGAAAAGTCAAGAAGAAGAATAGTAATAAAGAGTTTAAATTTGGTGATGGTGTTAGTAAACAGTCTATGAAATATGTAAATATTCCTGTGAAAATTGCTGGAGTTTATTGTAATATAGACACTGAAGTAGTTGAGGCAGACATTCCTTTATTGCTTAGTAAAGAATCACTGAAACGAGCCAATACTGTTTTTGACTTAGCTCATGATAAAGCATCAATATTTAAACGCCCAGTACAACTACAATTTACTTCAAGTGGACATTATTGTATTGACTTAAGAGATGAAATCCAGGGTGTATCTGATGAAACTCCAGAAGATGTTATGATTTTTGAAGAAAATTTGTCGCAGAAAGAAAAAATTAAAATGTTAGAGAAATTACATAAACAATTTGGACATGCTACTAGTGATAGATTAAAGAAACTTATAGTAAGTGCTGGACATGATGATCGATATATATTTAAACTTTTAGATGATTTAGTAAAAAAATGTGTTGTATGTCAACGGTTTCAAAGGCCCCAACATAAACCAGCTGTTGGTTTCCCATTAGCATCAGAATTCAACGACACAGTTGCAGTAGACTTACATCAACTGGATAAAAATTGATGGTATCTTCATATTATTGATGACTTTTCCAGATTTAGTGCTGGGGCAATTATGAAAGATAAGTATCCTGAAACTTTTGTAAAACTTTTCATAAAGATGTGGATTGGGATACATGGAGCACCTAGGAGATTGTTCAGTGATAATGGTGGAGAGTTCAACAACAAGACTGTACAGGATATGTGTGAAAATTTTAATATTCAACTGACAACCGCTGCCTACTCTCCATGGAGTAATGGACTTTTAGAACGTCACAACTATACATTAAAAGAAATACTAAACATAATTCAGAAAGATAATTCATGCGACTGGGAAACTGCATTGTCTTGGGCTTTAATGTCCAAAAATTGTTTAGCAAATGTCCATGGTATAGCTCCTATCAACTTGTATATGGTAAAAACCCAAATCTTCCAAGTATTTTTACAGATAGTTTACCAGCTTTAGAGGGCACTACAAATAGTTCCATTATAGGTGAACATATCAAAGCTTTATATTCAGCTCGTAAGGCCTTCACAGAAGCTGAATGTTCTGAGAGAATCAGAAGAGCTTTAAGAAAGCAAACTCGAAGATGAAAAAAGTTTGGACAATGAAAATAATAATGATGTACAACCAAAAGAACAAGAAATTGTGCAGTTGAAACCTGGGCATGTAATGAAGTATAAAGACAATACAAATAATGAAGAGTATCAAGTGAAAGTTTTAAACAGAGCTGGTAAGGCCACAGGTATCCATATAAACTGGTTTAATGTTGAATATCAAAGTCCAAATGAAATGGTTGGGACAAAACAATCTGTTGACATTTCACAGATGGCAGACATTGAAATCTTACCTATTGATAATCAGAGATCTGATGAAGAGCGTGTGATGATTCTTGAAAATGTGTCCTTTGAGGAAAGTAAATTAGAAGAACTTAAGTGTTGGAGAAACAACTCTGTTTATGAGGAAGAAGAAGATAATGGTCAAAATTATATTAGCACCCGTTGGGTTTGTACATTAAAGGACTGAACTGGTATTAAACCCAAATCAAGACTTCTTGTTCGAGGTTTTGAAGAGCTAGAAAATGAGCAAATTCAAAAGGATTTGCCAACATGCGCTAAGGAATTGCTGAGGGTCATTCTTAGTGTTTTAGCTCAAAATAGAAGGAAACCGTATTCAATGGACATAAAAACAGCTTTTCTGCAAGGAAAATCTTTAGATGGAGATATTCTTGTCAGACCTCCAAAAGAGGCTCAATGTTATGGAATGTTGTGGCGTCTAAACAAATGTGTATAATGGTTTAGGCGATGAATCACTGTATTGGTACAACACTGTCAGGGATATCATGGTTGAGTTAGGAGCTAAGATATCTAAAATTGATCCTGCTGTTTTTATGTGGTTCAATGATGAAGGGCAATTAAAGGGAGTTTTTTTTGGGGGGTTATGTCAGATTTTGAAGAAAAAATTATTCAGAAAATTCGTAAAAGATTTTTTGTTGGTAAAGAAGAAAATACTAGTTTTAAATATGTGGGTATAGATTTAGAATATGATAATGGTGACATTTTATTGGATCAGTCAAACTATGCAAAAAGTATCATACCCATTAAAATACCTTCATCATGACTGCAGCAGAAGGAATCTCTTCGGAATGAAAAGTAAATAAATAGTTTAGAGAGAGAAATCAGAAGACTTGACACTTAGATTTCAGAAATTAGATGGTGATTTATCTCTTGTAGTGTATAGTGACTCTTCCCTTGGTAATCTCCAAGATGGTGGAACCCAAGGTGGTCACTTAATTCTTTTAAAAGGAGAGAGAGGGAAATTTTCTCCTATATCATCGAATTCAAAACGAATTTGACGTGTAGTAAGGAGTACATTATCTGTAGAAACTTTTGCAATGGCAGATGCAATTGACAGTGGTGTGTTTATTTCCACATTTTATTCAGAACTTGTAACTGATTGTGCTGATCCGACTAAATTACCTATTGTATGCATCACTGACAATAGATCATTGCTTGAGGCTGTCAAATCTACAAAATGTGTAACAGAAAAACGGCTTCATGTGGAAATAACTGGAATCAAAGAAATGATTCGAGACAATCAGGTGAAAGAAATTAAGTGGTCAGATACCAAGAGACAATTAGCTGATTGTCTGACAAAACGTGGAGCATCTCCAGTGGTATTAATGAAAACACTTGATGCAGGTGTTTTGAAACTATAAACAGTATTTTTTTTTGTGTAAAACAACTTATAGACAATTCAACTATTAACCTCAGATAGAGTGTTCTATGTTTAGTTCTAGTTTTATGATATAACTTTGAAACTTTTTAAAGGGACACGGGGAGATTGATAACATTGTTATCTGAATTAAACTTAATAAGGAGTTACTTCCCTTTTATAAAATTGTTATTGCTAGACTTCCTCTATATATACTTACTGTAGTTTTAGATGTGTGATGAATAAATCTTAGTTTAAGACAAAGTGTCTATGTTAATATATTGACTTACTAATAACTCATACTCAATATTTTTCGATGTTTCTGATTTTCAATAGGGTTTATCCATGGCTGATAACCAACACTCATGCCAAGTTTCGTCAAAATCCGGCAAGAATTGTGCCTTCTAGAGCGATGATGAACTAAAAATTGAACACGTTTCAAGAACAAGGGCAATGACTAATACTAAATATTTTCCAATTTTTATACGCCCACACGTAAGATGGGCGTATATTGTAATCGATATTGAAATATCGTGTCTGACTTGATGTTTTACTCTATTAGCTATATTGTGCAACTCGTGCTCACTCTACAGGCTACAATTTTTTACAGATTCTTTTGATTTTTATTTTGTGTATCAATGTCATTATGAAGATGATCCCTATTGATTTTCGTGATGATCGGATAATTTTTCACCGAAATATCGTGTCTGACTTGACGTTTTTCTCTATTAGCTATATTGTGCAACTCGTGCTCACTCTACAGGCTACAATTTTTTACAGATTCTTTTGATTTTTATTTTGTGGGTCAATGTCATTATGAAGATGATCCCTATTGATTTTCGTGATGATCGGATAATTTTTCACCGAAATATCGTGTCTGACTTGACGTTTTACTCTATTAGCTATATTGTGCAACTCGTGCTCACTCTACAGGCTACAATTCTTTACAGATTCTTTTGATTTTTATTTTGTATGTCTATGTCGTTATGAAGATGATCCCTATTGATTTTCATGATGATCTATCGATTTTCATGATGATCGGATAATTTTTCACCGAAATATCGTGTCTGACCTGACATTTTACTCTATTAGCTATATTGTGCAACTCGTGCTCACTCTACAGACTACAATTGTTTACAGATTCTTTTGATTTTTATTTTGTATGTCAATGTCATTATGAAGATGATCCCTATCTATTTTCGCGATGATCGTATAATATTTCACCGAAATATCGTTGAGTGATTACAAACACTCGCACCAAGTTTCGTCAAAATCCATCTAGAATTGTGCCTTCTAGAGTGTTTACAAGCTAAAATTGAACACGTTTTCAAGAACAAGAGCAATAATTCATACCAATTATTTTCTGATCTTTCTGATTTTCAATAGTGTTCATCCTTGAGTGATTACCAACATTCACACCAAGATTCATCAAAATCTATCATGTATTGCACCTTCTAGAGTGTTTACGAGCGTTCCAAGAACAAGGGCAATAATTCATACTAAATATTTTTTGATTTTTCTGATTTTCAATAGGGTTCATCCTTGAGTGATTACCAACATTCACACCAAGATTCATCAAAATCTATCATGTATTGCACCTTCTAGAGTGTTTACGAGCGTTCCAAGAACAAGGGCAATATATAAACTAAATATTTTTTGATTTTTCTGATTTTCAATAGGGTTCATCCTTGGGTGAATACAAACAACCATACCAAGTTTCGTCGAAATCAGTCAAGAATTGTGCCTTGTAGAGTGTTTTTGAGCAATTGTGGACGGACGGACATGGGTGAAGGCAAATTACACCCCCCATTTCATGTGGGCGTATAAAAAGATTTGTGGAAAAACTCAGCATAACTGACCCTAAATTGATGAGGTATTCAAGGTTTTTTGAACTACAAATGCATAATGAAGATCTTCAATATGAGAAATGTGGTATTATTGTGAAGATCTATAAAATATTTTTGGTCAATAAAAATTTAGTTATCATCACTGACAGCTGTGTATTATCTTGGTGACAGATCCATTATCACTTGCCATACAATTAATTTTGAACAATATATATTTTAATCAAAAACACATGAATAATGAAAATCTATAAATGAACTCAGTAATGGGTAACTGGACAGAACCATTCTACACAACAGTGGTGAGGATGTAACCATTTGTTACTTGTTATGGTCTAGAAAAGGGCAAGCCAACTCAGCCAATTGGCTTAATCACTCATGTAACTTTATCGGGTTCATCAATAACCACACACTCATTGTTTGTTCTTTATCTTTAAGCCTTCACAGGCTTGATTATTACTATCAAAATGAGCGGTTAGTTGGTAGATAATAATAAGCAGTGATTTACCTTTCTATAAATAGCAGATATAAGAGATGATTTAATTCTCATACCAAGTGTCATTCCAATATGAAAATTCTGATGAAAAAAACATGACTGTATAACAGCTACCACAAAGAACGAACATGCATACACATATCCTTTCCATTCAGGTTCACTTTCTCTGTTTTTTGTATACCCAATTAAAATGCTGAAAAATAAAATTTTAGATATACAAAAATAATTATTGTTAAGTATTCAGGACTATTGAGCCAGCAAAGGCTTGAATATATACTTGAACATGAAAAATTGTTTGCATTTAAAAGAAGGAGGTCAAATTTTTCTTTTTTTTTGATTTTCAATAGGGATTATCCATGAGTGGTAATAAACAATTTCACCAAGTTAAGACAAAATCTGTCAAGGATTGTGCCTTCTATAGTGTTTACGAGCATTTTAAGAACAAGGGCAATAACTCATACTAATTATTT